GGAATAGGAGGAGTAATAAGAGATGAACAAGGGAAGCTGTTAGCTATGTATTCTGGACCAGTTGGGGTGGGAGATTCTTTGAGAGCTGAGATTCTTGCAACTCTTGAAGGGGTACAAAGAATCAAAGATATACATATTAACAAGTTGATCATAGAAGGAGATTCTGAAAGTCATAGACTTTGGAATTACAGTAATGGAAAGAGGAAATTCAAGTGGCTGACTAAGGACATGGAAATCCAATACAAATGGGTAAAAAGAAGTGTGAACTCTTTGGCATATGGTCTAGCTAGACAAGGGGTAAACAGACATTCTATTTTTTGGGCTGTCTTGTAATTTTTGTTCTTTTGATGCTTAATGGTTGTTCTTGGGAGCTAAGATTGTTTAGCCCCCTTGCCCTGTAATTTTCTCATATTTTTAATATTAATTCAATCCACAGTTATTGATCAAAAATAAATAAATTAAAGGCACCCTCACAAAAAAATTATAATGTCATCTGTAAACTAAAGGTGAGTTACCAAAACTCTACCTCTTCCTATTCTCCACCCTCTTACTAACCTAGCCCAATCCGCTTCTGATAGTAGTCCACTAAAGTATCAGCAACTAGTGTCAATAAAAAAGGGGGGACAATGGATCACCTTCTCTTAGGCCCCTATATGCTGGGAAAAAACCATTGACTAGAATAGAGTAATAGCAGGGTGTAAGGCAACCACTAATCCATTTACATCATCTATCCCCAAACCCACACTTCCTTAGCACCTCTAACAAGAATCTCTTAATCCTCTCCTATTTTTAACTAGATCGGAGGATCTGCCTCCCCATTTTTCTCTTTTCCATGCAATTAAGACATTATATGCATTGTCTTTTAACTAGATCGGGGATCTGTTTCATAGCAATTGATTCTTTGATTTAACAACTTGTTTTGCCTCCCCTAGTTCTTTGAACAAGCTAATTCATAAAGAAAGGAAACAAGCTAAAACTACCCAGATTCTAGGCAGGTGCAGAATAACTCAAGTCACAAGGTGCTCCCAAGTCCCATCACCTGGCCTCAAATTAACACCTAACATTTATGGTATGAAGAAATATTGATGAGTCCCTCATAGCACTGTACATGCATTGCATACACTTAACACCCCAGTGAACCAAATAAAGGTAGTGGAAGTGGGCCAATATTGTGGCAAGGGTTTATATAAGTAAGTATTTTTGCTCTCATGTACAAGTCTCATTGAAGAACTAGAAGGCCTGTGAAGGCCCTTCTTTAGGCCCAAGCATGACAGATGATATGGTTTGAACTTTTTGAAGGACCTAATCTAAAATAAGAATAAATAGGTGTAGATTAAATATAAAATAGGAAGAGGTGATAGAATCAAATTCTGGCAGGAAGTTTACCATCTAGTTTTCTTCTTAATGATTAGATTGAATTATCTGATTAGCATTTGAGTCACTATTTTTTTTTTTTTGCCATTTTTCCCTTATATTGCTCAGGTTAGATTTAAACAGCACATGTATTGGTTGTAGTCAGTGTTGCATGGACAGACACAGAAATTGGAATCTAACATGTGTCCAAAAGATGGGATTAGTTGACACATCTCAAATATATAATTATTCTTAAAATCCATAGAACTATTAAGTACAACTTAAATAGTTAAATTACAATTTGTAATTAACAAGTTAAACTTATAATCTTTGCCTATTTGCCACATGGTTGCATTAGTTGTTTTTCATTGTTTTCCTAATTTCAAGGGTAACTGAAAAGATCTAATAAACAATGGGTCGCCATTTATGTGTGATTCAAGAAAAGACAATACAAGAATCTCCTATTGGACAGTTTGAATGGTTGTACCCCTGTAACATAGAGATTTTTAAAGTGGAGATTTTTAATTTTGGAGATTCAATATGGTGGCAATTTGGTAAATCCAACTGATTCGCACTGTAGCTGAGCTCAACTCATATTTTAGAGTATGACAAAAGTAAATTCGTGGACACACATTGATTGACTCGCAAGTCCCCACCATGCAACACTGGTTTTAGCTTATTTTCCCCAGACAGCATTATTAGAACTGATGAGTGATGACTAAGAGACTTGGCAGTGCAGCAATTAAGAATTAGAAAATGTGTCCAGAAGTAATATAGTGGTAAAACTTGTAATCTATGAAAAAGTTGAAAACAGAGGGTGATAAAGTAACAATCAGATCCATCAAGAACATCCATATACAAAAAAGAAGCAAGGCCATGCATACAAGAATAATTAAACCTATTTCAGATAATACTGGAATCATCTGAAACAAAAGTAAACACATACCACTATTCTTCATAAGAGCTGCAATATATGTAGTTTTACCACCAGGTGCTGCCCTGCAACAAACATAGGCAAAAGAACACAGTCAAAAAGATAATATAGTTTAGTATGTTAATGTGCTACAACATATTGAATTTGTGGTAAAATTGTTGTGCAACTTTTTTTACAACAAAATTGATTATTAAAACAAGTGGAAAATTGGCAGGTATAGTTATCTTATCTCTCTGAAAGCAGATGATAACTAAAAATGCAAAAATTAAGACCCCTCAGGTTCAGGGGGTGTTTTCAGGAACAAAGGAGGAATTGTTGTGACTTTGTTTTCAGGTACAGAGGGTGTGGGGATTTCAGTTAAATCTGAACTCCTACTGGTTATTCATGGAGTACAGCTGGTAAGACAGATGAACGTTGATAAGTTAATTATAGAATGAGACGGTAACTTGGGTTTACATGGAGGATATTAGAGATTTAAATCGATTACTAGTAACATGACATGAAGAATTCAATGGGGAAGAAGACCGGCAACTGGAATGGTAGATACTCTAGCTAAACAAGGGATCACCAGGGAGCATTTGTTTTCGAATTTGGGCTCAATTGTAATTAGCACTTGATGTTTGAGAAAGTTTGCACCTTGCGGCACTCCTCTTTCTTTGTTATACTTCTGACTTAACCTTAATAAATTCTTCTTTTATCTATCCAAAAAAAAATTCTTATGCCAACAAAAATTTCCAAAAATTATAAAGAAGTTTTTGTGCTTGGTAATAAATAATGTTCAGAAAACAATAGTTCCATCAAAAGCATTGTTTTCTTTCCTGTAAACAAAGCACTTACGCCATATCCACAATTCTTTCCTTGTCCTGCGGAGCAAGGGCCATGACTGGCAAAAAGGAGCTTGCACTTTGCAGCTGGGAACAAATTAAACGAAAGGAACTCTCATCATTATAATAGAAGTATAAAAAACTAGAAGCATACATCTACATAGAACAATAACAAGTATATCAAGTGCATGAAAGCAAGAAGTACCATGTAGTAACCAGCCATATATTCTGGTGTTGCTCCTATAGGTACTTGAGAATCATACACAACCAACCCAACCTGTCAATTTATATCATTACTTAAAATTGACAACATAAGAATACCTTAAAGACTGCAGAACATAAAATAAGCTTTACCTTTGACCATTTGCTTAATGGATCCAAGTTCACACCTCTGTTTATTAAAACATCAGCAAGATCTCGTCTGCGAGTCTATTTGCAACAAGAAACCAATTATCAATATGCAGAATACTAATAACGGTGATGTTAAAAAAGGAGAAGAAAAGGTGCTGGAGACAAGAAACCAATTTAGGTCCAAGGTGCAGCACTTTCAAAAGGTGTGTGCCTGCTGTGCCTAGGTGTGCGCCTAGTGCACCTTGCACTTCAGCCCAGCCATGCACCTTTTGAAAATTTGCACATTTTTTCTGTTTTTTATGCCTAGCAGCTGAGCCAGGGGCTCTGCTCCCAAAAACCCCATATTTTCTGACATTACTCTTACTCGTTCATTTATCCTAATAAAAGGTATTTTTAAAAGAGAATTAAAGTTATAAAACCTTTTTCATAGGAATTAAGATTTTAACACCCTGATATGGACTTGTTTGGGTTTGCCTCTAGGGGCTTGTTACTAAGGCAGCTTGTAGAATCAAGAACACATGATGTCTAACATCACATTAGCTATTTGAAGTAATACAATTGGGAAAAAAATAAAGAATTGAGAGCTTTACATGTTTGACTACGTTTTATATGTTATGCTTGATTTTATTTTTAAAATTTTCATTTTAAATATATTTTTTGATAGGTTCATTTTAAATATATTTTACATGTAATGTTTATGCATTTTAATTTGAGATGATAGGTTTATATTTTACATTTACTTTAAATTTTAAGTTTATATTTTTAATTAATATTATGTTTGATTTTTTAATATTTTGCTTCGAAAAGGCGCATGCCTCACCTTGTGCCTCACAAGTCAGGTGCAAAATGCCCCTTGCGCTTTTAAACACTTGATACTACAAAAAAAAAAGTGCAATTTTGAGGAATCCAGATTTCCTCCTCACAGATTGCTCCTCACACCCACCTCAGCACTTGCAGCCATGCACTGGGAACATCTCCCACGAGTAAAAAACATTCAGGTACGGGAGATATTCCCAATGTGCAGCTGTAACATGCTGAGGTGGGTGAGAGGACCACTCTGTGAGGAGGAAATCCGAACTCTATTGAGTGTCATTTCACCTTTAGAGTGTTTGTCCGCAGGCAAATTGGTCGGGGCTTTTCAAAAGCTTCGATAAGCTCAACAAGCTCAACTACTGGAAACATCTGTATATACAGCCAAAACAAAAATATGAATATGGGAATGCAAGCAAGGATCTCCACTGTTGCTTTCTGGGGTAGCAGTTAGATCCAAATTACCTCCACCAAAACACCAATCAAGAAGTCATTGTAACCATAGTAAGAACTCAAGTCCAACTTAAGTTGCTCAATATAATCCTTTCTTGCAGCTCCCTCTTGCCTTAAAATTTTGAAATTTGATAGCACTCTAACAACTAAAAGTATGAAAAAATAACAAAACCAATTATTTGTCATAAGCAAAAGGAAATCAATGCAGAAACTTTAAAGGGTCTATTGCTCACTCTCTTTTATTCTCCGTTGCAGATTGGGAAGATCAGGAGGTCGAAGTGCCTCTTCTTCAAGCTCCTAAATGTGTTAAAAACTAAAAGTAAGCTCAAAATGGAACATGGGGTTTAACGAACAGCAAGTTCCTTGAAAATTTAACTAAGAAAACTGTAAGAAAAAAAAAACGTAATTAAGGGCGGAAATTAAAAATGAAAAACCTTCTTAGTGGGCAAGCGGAACTCATCGGATTCTTCTTTGATGTTGAGCTGCAACTCGGCCCCTGCTTCTTCTTCCTCCCTCGCTCTTTCTTCATCAATAGCCCTTGACTTCTCCTCTATGTCGGACTCGTCCGATTCAGATTCTAAGTCCGAACCTGATTCCTTCCCTGCAATACGTGAGCAAAACAGAATGTAACCCACCACCCAATACCAACGAGAACCTAAAATAAAGTATATATGGCAGAGAGAGAGAGAGCACCTGCTTCATCGCTTCCTTGGAGGAAGTTATCAGCGAAAGGGTCATCTTCATCAGAATAAATTTCAGAACCAAAGTCATTTCCTTCTTCTTCTTCTTCTCCTTCTTCTTCTTCACTTGGGCTATCAGAATCTTCAAGTTCTTTCGGAGGCTTTTCCGAGAAGAATTCCTTCTTTTGCTTCTTCTTAGGGGAAGGCTTACGAGCCTTCCCTCCTTTTCCCTTTGCCGAAGCTGCCGCCATTGATTCTATAGAGAGCTCAGAGAAGATGGGAAGCAGGGTTCTGACTGAAGTTTTTGCTCCAACAGAAAAACGAATAAAAAGTCTAAACCCTATGCTTGAGGTTTTTGCTCCAAAATCTGAATCCGGTCCGGTTATGGAAAACTTGCATCTCGGATATCGGTTTAGACTCTTTTTTGGGTTAATTACAAAGACCCGTTGTACTATTAAGACCCTTGTACAATGTCGTCCATGAGACAAAAACCCCCTTCCGCTAGACTTCCGTTAAAATCCGTCATTACAATTTTTTAATCCCTATACTACCCTTGTAACGTTGTTCATCTTCCTCGACCTCACGAACAGCATTAGAGGTAGTTGTTGTAGTGGTGGCGAACTTCGGAACCTCCCTCTCTCTCCCTTGATGAGGAAGCGCGAGTCCGAGCAATCGCGGAAAGTGAATGGCATGGCGGAGTGCTCGTATAGAGGAGAGAACATGAATTACACAAATTGATGTAAGGACTGTTGGCCCCAAAAAATATCCATTGAGTATTAACGAGTCCATGCCAAGACTTAGTTCTCTAAGTAACAGTCAACACATTTAGAAGTTGGAGAGTGGAGGCTAGCAAAATCTATTCATTGTGTTTCTACAATAAGCAATGAATCATACACGGCATGCAATGCTATAACAGTTCAAACAGCTCCCCACAGAAGAGAGATCACATGCTAGAAACAGTTCGAATTCCAAATGCCCTCCTATAGACTTGATCACTTGAACTCCAAACGTTTACTCTCCTGGGAAAGCATACATGGAACTCCGAGATCACAAAACTTTGGTAGCTCTAGTGGGATGGCACACCATATTAATGCCCAGTTCAGGCCCTCAAAGAATGGATGTTGCTTAATCTCTGGATCCTTTACCAACAGCCCTCTGATCAGACCTTTTGCCTGAAAATAGACCATTGGGCTTTCAGGAACTTGAGGCTCTATATCACCACATTCGCTAAGGTCTCCTCACTTCCCAGGCCCTTCAAAGGTGTTTTACCAAATAAGAACTCATAAAGAAAGATCCCAAATGTCCACTAATCCATAGCACTTCCATGACCCTCTCCTTTGATGTTCTCAGGAGCTAAGTACTCATGGGTGAGTGGTCCCAACAAAGGAGTTGGACCGGGTAGTGGTTGGCTCTGCCACAAGCAACCTTGGTGAAAAGCATGAAACCTATGCCTATGATGGCTAGAAACAGAAAGGATCTATACAAGGGGATTCTGCACAATCTCCACGATTGCCCGAACTCACACTTCCTCATCGAGGGAGAGAGAGAGGGAGATTTCGAAGTCCATCGCCGCTGCAACAGTTACCATCGTTGCTATTCGTGAGGTCGGGGAAGATGAACTGTGTTACAAAGGTAGTATGGGGATTAAAAAATATTGCAACAACGGATTATAATGGAACTCTAACAGAAGGGGGTCTTTGTCTCACGGACATAATACAAAGAGGGTCTTTGTCTCACAGACATAGTACAAGGAGGGTCTTTGTCACAAAACAAAGTAAAGGGGGTCTTTGTCACAAACCCCATAGTACAAGGGGTCTTTATAATTTACCTTTTTTTCTATTGGAGCAAAAACCTCATTCAAACACAGCTCTCCATCTTCTCTTTCTCTTTGTAGAATCAACGGGATAGCTTCTCCAAACAAGAGAAAAAAGAGGGAAGACTCGTAAGCCTTTCCCTAAGGTCTTGTTTGTTTGTTTATTGGTATATATGTATGGGAAATTTGATTAATATGTATCTTTTTCCCATTAACCAACTTCTCCATGTTTTCCATGATAAAATCACCTTTACTTTCTTAGTTAAAATTTACCCATATCTCAGGTGAGTAAGTAACTTTCCCACATGGGAGAAACCTTTATAAAATATAATGGGAACATTTTGCCCATTTTAATACTAATTTCTTATGGGTAAAAATGAATCCTAGAAATAGAAAAAAAAAACATGGGTAACTTAATTTACCCATGAAACATTTACCTATGTAAGTGCATTTACCCAGGTAACTTGTAAAGTCGTAAACGAATAGGGCCTAAGAAGAAGCAAAAATAGTTTAGGACTGTAAATGGATCAGAATCAACAAAATCCAAATCTGGCCCGATTATGGAAAACTTGCATCCAAATTCTATTTACTATCTAATTGAATTTGGATACCTTGGATTCGAATTCAAAACTTTAAAGGATTTAATTGGATTAAAATGCTAATTATTTTTAAATTTTATATATAATAATAAATTAATTAAATAAAACATATTGAATTTATTTTGTATATAATTTCATATTGTAAGGCCCGAAGCCCAGCTCGTGAACAGGTCTAATCTAAACCCTAAAATTTGGGGGATTGACTAGGTGGCTTAACTAGAAAAAAGGGGGGAGAAGAGGAGGAGAAGATAGCTAGACTCCCAAAGGGATTGCTAACATACCTTTCGGCTCTAGGATTGGGTTAGAATTAGGTTCAATTCTTACACTAAACTTGAACAGATTTGAAACAAAAAGTTTGACCTGAAAATTGTTTGTTATGAGAATTTGGTTCTTAGTTTGAGCTAATGACTTGAATAATTTATCTTTTTATTTTCTGTCATTACTTAGAATAATTTAATGGCATAATCTTGAATTTCTGGGTTAGAGTGTTGGGGGAGATCGAATTCTTTAATCCTAGCACCAGTCATTAACTAGTCATTAAGTGAAATGGGAAACATAAATGCCCTTTAGGTGTCATCAAATTTTTTTTATCAATCATCCAAATGCCCAAATCTAGCGATGGAGACAATATTCTCTTGAACACAAAGCACCATTTTACCAACTTGAAGAGGAAGTTGGGAAGAGTTATGCTATTCCAACGGACAAAATACAAATCTATATATCAATTAACCATGAGGCTGCGGTTGGAAGCAATGCAAATAAGTAGAGTGTAAAACGGACCATATAAATCGCAAAATTGGGTTAGTTTTGCACTGACAAATTTATCTACTTACCAAATAGGCTTTTAGCTGTAATTGATGCAAACACTAATTCCAATAAAGCATATGCCTTTTTTTATCAAAAGCCCATTTGAATGCAAATTTACTTCTTTTATATTGATGTACTTTTACATCTCATTATCAATGTAAGTAAGCATTGGAAAATGTTTTCTTTCATTTGTAAATGCACAAATGTAATTAATATTGTCAAAAACAAGTAAAAGTGAACCAAAGTGCAAATTTACCCTGAACCAGGATTTACACTCCATTTACATCGTTTTCAAACACAGCCTAACGAAATCGTGATATTAACAATCCACACGAAGATTATCGAGGGGAGAAAAGAAAAGCTGTCAAGAAGAAATCAAGAACTTGATTTCGCACCTCACCTAATCTCTCATTTTGTTTCCTATCAAAGCAAATCCAAAAGTCTCAAACCGCCTCAACTTTCTCTTTCTTCCAACTTGTATTTTCTAGGTAGTCTGCTGGCATGGTAGAATTTAGAATCTGTACGTCGTTAAAAAGTATGAAGAATTTAATTACCAAAAAAAAGTATAGTCCCTAATCAATTGTTATTCTTGATTTGGAATTTGAACTTCGTTCTACTTAAAAGTTTTCAATCCTGTTTTCTTTCATCGAGAAATTCTCAGTACCAGAATACAACTTTCATGGTGAAACACATTTACTAAAAAATCAACAACAAACTGAAAGAAAGAAAAACTAATTAAATTATTAACAAACTAAACGGACAAAGCTAGAAAAGAAAGAAAAATGAATAAAGCCAAGTCTAATAAGATCAAGGACATATGGTACTTCACCTGTGTAACCTCAACGGAAGTAACCCAAATGAAAACGATGGCACCAATTAAGCATAAACCAGCTCTGTACCTCTAACTTGGAGAATCATGGCACCAATTTTTCAGTGTTTTGCACCCTTATTTTATCATCTTGAGGAAGATGACGAACAATGTTTTATTTTGAAGGTAATTTTGATATTTTCAAAAGTTTTAAGTTGTACATGATGTCACGTGATACATATAACTGATGATCTGTTAATAGCAGATACTGGATTGACACATTTTGAAAATTCAAGAACTGAATTAATTATTGCGTTTTAAAGTTCATGAACCAAAGTGACACTAGACCCAAAATACAGGATACTAATTAGGAATTTTTCCATCTTTTATTTCTGAAATTTAAAAAGGTAAAATCCATATAAATAAAAAATATTACATCCTAGTTGAGATTAAATGAGCCTAGATCTAGTTATAAACCTTATTCCATTCACAGCCTCCACTTCCATTTGGGATTTTTTACTCACTTTTCCTACCCACTCTCTATCCGTCGTGAATTAAAGCCACACATCTCTATTATAATTTGAGAGATGTATAACTGCAATTCACACGGGTAAAGAATGAATAGAAAAAGTGAGTAGGAAATCTGGGCTCTCTTGATGGTCGGATTTTCATTCACTATTGACCCAAAAATGGGCAGGTGTTCTTTTTCAAATATTTCCATCTTATATAGGTAAGGCATAATACTTTCCCTGATGTCATTTGCATATTAAGGCCTATACTCTCGTCAAAGTACAAATTCTATATTTTGTGCATGGGGATTTAAAATTTTTAATCCACTTTACAAAGTACTTCCCAGCATCATGATAATTGGGAACAATCAAATAAGTAACAATATTGGGCAACCACATATCAGTAGTTAACCACTATTATCAATGTGGCTATCCGAATCGGAGGGAGATGGAATGGAGTCGTAACCTAAATTTTAGTAAAATGGAAATTTAAAAAAAAATTGGGATTTTGCAAGAAAAAATATTTTTTTTTGGTGATTCATTGCCCAATGGGATAAAGATTCTTTGAGTTTTGGGACCAAGGTATGGTGTGGGAATGTATTAATTACCCTATACATGCCCAGTTGAACTAGTCTCTTTTTCACCAATGTTTCAAGGCAAATTTAATAATTTGGGCATTTAAAAAAATATATACCGAACAAACACACTATTAATTTATTGAAAGAGAAAAACTCTAGATATTTAAAAGTATTATATATAAATTGAAATTGTGAGATCAAACAAGTGATCGAATAACTAAGCAATTAATTAATGAAGCAATTTGATAAGAAATCGACTATAAAGAGAGAATTAAATGAGAAAA